TTTTATATATTGCTCGTTTAGTGAGGACCGAATCGCCCTGTACTAAAGTCCTCTTGGTGTAATTCGGATCCGTCTTCGTCTCATTAAGAGGCATAAAGCTGCTCCACGAGCCCGGATGAAATAATTGAATCCGTTAAGTACAGTGGTCGCCGGTCGTAATTACTAATATTAAACCGTCCAACCGAATGCTCCGCATAGTCCAAACTATTAAGTAATTAACACACACTCACACGACTAATAGTCATTTTCACTAGTTCTCGTAACTACATCATAGAAAAAGTTAAAAATTTTGGGGTTGTTTAATTACACAGGGTGATTCCGAAATGGTACAATCCAAATGAATGTGATTCTATGTGCAAAAATAAATCGAAAATCTAGAATAACATTTTTTCGTACGATGCTTCGTTTTCAAGATAATCAATTTTCAAAATTCGCTTAACACGTATGCATTCACAGTGACAATAAGTAGAAACAGAATGCAACGAACAGACGCGTCAGGCATGTCCTATTTCGATTGCATCCACATTCAATAGAGTGAATAGAGTTTCAAAAAATGTTATTCTACATATTTTCGACTTATTTTTGCGTGTAGAATCACATTCTTTCGGGTTGTACCACCATTTTGGAAACACCCTGTATTTAATATAATTAAGCTGCTGATTTTGTTCATTTTCAATCTATGCCACTGTAAAAAATATAGTAATATTAAATTCTGATGATTTAATAAACTTATTATATCATTATCAAGTCTCTTGGAAATTCTTGGCTGAGAAAATAAAATACTAACACCCTTCGAGTAAGAAGTACATACTTCAAAACTGAACAGTTAGTATAACTATAATTACTATACTATTTTTTTACGTACCCGCGTACTCTATACAAATGTTAATTAGGCAAGCATTGCATCTAAGTTTTATTGAGACAAATATTAGCTTCATAGTAAATTGTTAGAAAAAAAGTAATTTCTTTCTAATTAATTTTAAGTTTTTGTAAAATCACGTGGGGAAGTTTAAAGTTATATTAAACATTCGTATCCTAAATACAATATTTTAGATATACAGTTATCTTTTTCCCTATGTCTTGTATAAAATATAAACGAATTTTATTTATCAATTAACTTTTCTTCTTTATTCATGTGAAGTATTTATTTATTAATTTATTTTGTACATTTATATTCACCTGTAATTATTCGCGAGTTTCAATTATATTTTAATTGAATTAAATAATCGTGTGTTTTAATTCGATGCACTTTCTAAAATCGAATCATAAAGGGAACAAGAGATTCAATCGGGTGAGTAACTACTGAACTTTTATCGACACCACGGGTAGCAGCAGATAAATATAGTAACGGGCTTTTATTTGGTAGGTTCTCAAGAATTCGATCAAATAATTTTATGATAAATTAAGAGCATTTTGTAGCAGATTTACGTTGATAATAAATGATTTCTATATAGTTTTTACGATAATACCTATATAGAGGAAAAACGTTTATTTAATACATATACATATATTCACCATCGCTATTAGAAGTTTCCCCTTGTGTCCTAAAAAATTATTGTCTTTGTATTGTCGTTATGTTTTTAAAAAAAAAAATTCCACGGAAGAAACATGCATGTATTTCTATTTCAGAAATAAAGCTAAAGAAGTAATTAAAGTTAATATACATTTACATAAAAAAAGTGGAAGTGGTTAAAAATACTTATTTAACAGCTTGTATTATTCAAGAGTGTTTATACGATTGATACAAGACAGATATCCAAACAAAGACCACTTTAAACGTCAGTGAGAAAGACGTAAATATTATATCTATATATACTGAAACTTAGATAAATATTTTAAACACTTCTACAACTTCTTCCCAATTTTTTTTTATAGAACCATTATGTCGTCGGTATAAAACTTTCCTTTCGTTATTCACTAAAATATTTTTCATTACTGTTTCCTAGTTCGTTGACGTTTTCGAATTTTCTACCAATTAAAAAGTGTTGCAGTGTCCAAAATAGATGATAATTTGACGAGGCAATATCTAGAGAATAAAGTCGGTGGGGTAAAGTTTCCAAACAATTTTTCGTAATTTTCGTTTTATCTTTTTTCGTCACATCAGGTCTAGTGTTATTACGATGAAAAAGCATTTTACTTCTATTCAACAGCCCTGGTCGTGAAAAAAATTGTAAAATGTAGTATAAACACATCGAAGCACAAAGTTAACTTGTTTATTCATAAACTTTAAGACATGTTTGAAATATCGATCTAAAACCAGATATAAAACTCGGCATAAACTTATAGCATCACCTAATATATGTATAAGTTATTGTCTACGTGAAAATGTATGGGATTGAAGATAGTTCTGAAGGAAGATGGTAATAATATCTTTATTATATGCTGTAGTATAGTTGGACGAGTGCATACTGTGCACAGAGATATGAAAAATGTCGGTACGAATCTATGAGATGACCATCCCATCGTTTCGATCAGCTAGATATTTTCGCGAAACGCTGACTATTATTAATAATTAGTGGCCTGTAATGCAGGAGCACCTAAATCGAATTTAAAATGATTAAAAGGTGGATTAAACCAAATTCAAAATGATCGATAGATGGATTAAACCAAATCCAAAATGATCAGAAGGTGGACCAAAACTAAAGTCGACCAGCTGAGATATTTTCGTGAAACGTTAATTATTATTAATAATTAGAGGCCAACAATGCAGGACAAACTAAACTAAATCAAAAGTGATCAAAAGGTGGATTAAACCGAATTGAAAATGATTAAGAGGTGGATTAAACCAAATCCAAAATGATCAGAAAGTGGACCAAACCAAAGTCAACCAGCCAAGATATTTTCGTGAAACGTTGATTATTATTAATAATTAGAGGCCAGCAATGCAGGACAAACTAAACCACGGCTCGTTTCGCAAAACGACCCTGACTTAATTCCATGGTTTAATTTCAGACGTTCAGCAATGAGATTCCCGTGATTTTTCTCCTTTCAACGCGAACTAGAACACGTGTCTCGTTGCATCAGTTGCTCGACATTCGAACGGACTTAAGATTTTTCGGTGTGCGCGTTAAAGCGCGCCGTGACCGTTTAAAGCTGTCGAAACGGTTTTCGTCTAATTTGGCGCGAACCGACACTCAAACGGCCGCGAGAAATCGCCGCGTCAGTCCGTCAAATGCCTCGTCCCGTGGCGATTAACGGTCGGTTTGATTGGCTCGCGAGCAAGCCTTGATGGCGGGAAATTCGAGGAAGCCCGTTAATGTTTCCCAGTTGCGCGCGTTTGAGGTCGCCTTCCGGTTACGTTGACAGAGATGCTTTAATGGATTTCTATTTACGACACATACACGGTCACGGGAATATTTTATTGACCCCCTATATACCTCTGTTGACGCAGTTACTGAAAAAAGTTCCGCGTCATTCTTATTTTACATATCGTCTGTTTGCTACGAGAACGATAAAATTAATAAAAGTACATTTTTCAGGAAGTGAGGGTGTAACATTTTATTCCAGAAAAAAATTCTTGAAAAGTTTTATTTTCGCGGCCGTCACAGTGGTGTTTCCCTTAATTACTAGACCATTCAGTAATGAAAAAAAATTTTCTTTTGCTATTTAGGTAATGATTTTTGAATTTTGAGTTTCCAGTAAATTATAATAATTATAGTACATATTTAAAAAAGAGTGTTAAAACAGCCTTTTATGAATTGTGACATTGTTCTGGTTAAATAGTAAAATAGCTCACTCTTGGAGTTAATTTTTCAAGACATTTTGAATGCAGCGGTTTTTAGATGTATGATGATATTTAGTCAATATTAACTTATTAAGTACCAAGCAGTGAAATAATACGACATCTATATGTAAAATTTTTGGTTTTTTTACAAAATTATATACCTAAGTGGAAGCAAAAATACTGACGAAAAAATTATTAAGCAAATCCCTGGACTCTCTCTTCATAACCACAATGTTAAAAAACAGAATTCAATACTGTAAATATATTGAAAGAAAATTGCAAAATTGAAAATTGTAATAATCATAATTTATACTTAATACCTAATATTTACTAACGATTAGACAGCCGGTTATATATACCGTGCGAAAGTTTATTATTAATTATACATTCGAGAATATTTTGTTACCTACGATAAATACGGAAATTTTTCGTTATCTCATTATGCAAAATTTCATTGCGTCTGCACATTCATGGAATCAATATTATGTGTCAATATTAAAAAATCTTGATAAAGTACATGTATCACCATTTTGTATGGAATATAATTTATAGGTTTCGGATGACTAGTTAATGCTTTCAACAGGGTTTATGCTAATTTCATACGCACAGGCCAAGGAGCATCGTGCAGACCTGTTTCTTTGAACAGGTGCGTGGTAATGTTTCACAATCGCAAGAAGTCTGTCATTCGATCGTTGTAAAGAATTCTATTGCCGATGTAGTCAGTGAAATATGATAATTTTATAACATTAAGAAGCGTGTTTCCCAAACATTTTCAATCCTGTTCAGCTTCTGTTCGCTAAACTAAATTTTCAGTCATTTTTGCTTTTGTTTTCGTTATATCCGTTTTTTATGTACTGAAAATTCAATTACAAATAGTAAATAACAAGAGTTACTTAAGCAATCATAAACTTTAAATTGTCATTCAATCGAGTTAACAAATTTTTCATTTTGGCCAATAATATTAGACGTACCCATAAGTAGAACTCTATTTTCTGTGAAATTTCGTATTTGTTTCGAAACATTTCAAAACCTTTTAATATAATAACCCAGTAGTCCACGCGTATTTCATCTGAATTTACAAAAATGAATAACTCAGAAACGAAGCCCCGAACAAAATTTCGTTATTTTCTTGACTTTTGTCTTAGTTTCGATTGTAGATCCCAATTGTGTTCATTAACACCCTGTAATTCCTTAGGAATGTCAGATTTAAAAGAGAATATATTTGAGAAGAAGTGACTTTTAATGTTAAAAATATCAGAGGTTCCAGTGTACTCACGTTATCATTTTGGAGCAGACTGTAGGAATTGTTCGACGGACCTGGACTGGGTGACGTGAGTTCCGAAAGTTTGCTTGGAGACAATTTCTCGCTGTTCCCACCCTCCGCGCCGTCGCTGCTTCCGCTGCCACTGAAAGTGCAATACCATTAATTGGAGTGTGTCGCCCGACAGTCATCGGGATTAGGGATACTCCGATGAAACGTTTTTGTCGACAGTACTACCCATAAGACAGAAATCACGTGACATCTTTTTTCCTAGCTTCATATGACGACACAGCTGCTGACGGCAATTTTAACAATGACAATTTACAATTACGTTGTTAACCCTTTAACACCCAGACACTTAAATCGTTATTTCCAAATTATTGGACTTTTAAGTCAAGTACTTTGAAGTCAAAAATGTCGATATTAAACTGATCTGTTTTTTTTTTTCCTTTTTTTATTTACTATTGGAGGCAATAACTTGAACTTCTCAACTGAAAATGTGGAGATCTACTTCACAACAGTGAAACTACGGATCCTTGCTGACAAAAGTTGGATATTAACTGGCGACAGAATTTTATGCACGTTTAAAGTGAGTGTTGTAAAATTTCTAGCAAGTGTAAGGTTAGTCGTATCTAATAGACTGCCGATTTTTATGCGAAATGGAATTTTCTAAAGGAACTCATGAAGACAATAACAAATACAGGAATCCCGTTTTCCTCTTAAGTATCTTATTGGATTCAGAATAATCTCTTATTGTATTTCGCAGAGCCCAATGAGTTATAAATACATAAAATTAGATACCTAGTTACAATTTTTACTGAATTTCTTAAAACAATTATATTCTGTTTATTCTGTCGAACTCATAATATACTGGTATATATGTTGGAATATTCAGTGTTATTTAATGCATGATAGTACACAATCTTGAACTGATAATCACTGAGGTATGATTCACGCGACGTTAAGATTAGAGATAAAACAACTGTAATAGGTTTCATAATTTCATTGAAAATAAGTGTCACAGTACGCGATAAACGTAATATTCTATTCACAATTCAATTACTTACGATAATCTTGACCTTACAGAAAATGTTTGAAGTTTTAAAAAGATCTATACAATATATAGAAAATAAAATGACGTATAAATTATTGATATTCTTTAGTATACTATAGTACACCAGCATAAACTATCGTTGTTAATAATTTTACTACGGTATTGTTTATCCGATGTTAAGTTTGCACAACAAGAACCTGTCCAGGTTTTATAATTCAATTGAAAAAAAATATCTCAATACTACGATGTAATATTTCAGTAACAATGCCATAACTAGACCGCGGATTTTATGTATTTATGGCCCATAGGGCTCTGTGAAATACAATAAAAGACAAAACTTTCATCGGATTCAATGAACTTTCCGTTTTAATCTGAACCCAAGAAGATACTTAAGAGGAAAAATAAATTTCTACATTTCCGCCTGTCTTCATAAATCACTTTAGAAAATGTTATTTTGACATAAAAATCCGCAGTCCAGTCATAACTTATGGTAACTGAAATCTTATATAAAATTTTCCAAGTCGCAAGAAGCTTTTTATAGTACGTAAAAAAATAAGATGACGTATTATTGATCTTTAAAAAAACCAATGTCCTCTAACACACCCTAGTACATTACCATAAGCAGTCGTCGTTGTGGTGTTAAGCTTGCACATAGAAAAACTGTCCAGGTTTCTTAATTTAATTGAAGAAAAAACCCTCAACGCCCGATGAATATCAGATTCAGTTAATAGTTTCGTTATTTAGGACATTTTTAACTCAATGTAAAATTGTCGGTGTCTCAAGATCTCTATAAAGATTTTAAAAATTCAGAAAATAAAATGAACCTTGCTAGAGTGCTCAGTCCAACTATAGGGTGGATACACCAGTAAATGAACACTATATGTAAACGAATAAATGAAGTTATTAAAATAAGCAAATGATAAAATATTGATTTTGTTTCAATTCCTTGTTTCATACTTAATCAATGTTCACGACACCGGTTATAAATGTTCATTTACTTAATATTAGTCATACACTGATGAAATCTGTATTTTTTCTTTTCATTGTAATTAATTAGATTTTTCCAATTTTTATCTAAATTGAAGAAAAATCCAATTAGAAGGATTAGGAATTTAAATTAAAATCCATATAACATCCGCAATCTATCCTAATACAAGAAGAAACCTATCTCTCGAGCTCGTAATCTAACGTACACCCAGCGATTACCTGGAAAAACCGAGTGAACAGGTGAATAGATACCGGCTAAATCCTCGCTGGACGACACTCAACGTGGACGATGGTATCCAATAGGTCCTCCTATGGATCCTTTCGAAATATTATCGCGTCGCGAAAATGCTTACATAATCACAGCACTCGCGGTGCAGAAAAGAGCAAGTCGGTCCCGGTGCACTTCGATCGGTGAACTTCAGCCGGCTAGGCTGAATCGCGCGCGCGTGTACGGGCGAAAAAACGATCGCAGAAGGCCTCTTCTAGCCGACCAGAGGGATCGGCACTACCGGCTGTGAGAGGCCGTGGCCGCCGCCGGCCAGGTATTATTAAAACCTAACAAGTACAAAGTGACGGTGCTGCTGGTCGACCGGTTCGACGGTGTGCCACCCAGCATAGTATTTAACTCTTCTGCAATGTTCAACCGTGCCCGACGACGAAGACGACGACGACGACAACAACAACAACGAGAACGACGACACTCTTTTCCCGATCCCGTTGCTATGGCGACGGTTGTTGTCCTTGATCCCAAAGAACGGGGTCATCTTTTCCGTTCCGGTTGCTCCTTTTGCAACGGTGCACAAACCCGCCCGTGGACGTGGTCATTGTTGGGGAGCTGGAATCGGGAGGAGAAACGTGCCCGCCTCCTCGCCACAAGAAAACGCGGATGAGATGTATACAGGGTGTCCCGAAAGAAAGTCTGACAAGGGGAGGTCGCGACATCTGGGACACGGATTTTGATATACGTAGTAGGGTCCAAAAGTTCTCGGCCTCTCTTATTGTACGAATAAGGACAATGTTCTTATTTCTAATCACGTACCGATTTCTGGTCAGTACGTATATATTTTATTTAATGTAACAAGTTAAATAATAATTTAGTTATACAAAAACCTAGTTAAATTTGTTCAGTATTTCCGTACAAAATGCTATAGCCCGTGGTTCAATAGATCGCAGTATTTTAATCGAAATAAATTTAATAAGTCTGTCCGTCGTAAAGAAACGTGATATGAGAGGTTTCGTTGCGATCGTGAGTTACAAATGGACACTGCGTTTTTGTTCACTGCACAAAGTTTGCTTTTGGCACTTCCATTTTCGCTGAGCAGAAATAGGGACACGTTCGTGGGCAGAAATGCGAGCATTTTTATTTTCGCTGAGCGGAAATAGGGACATTTTATACTTCGTACTAAATTAACTATTATTGAGTTGAAATGTTTTTTAAAATACTTTTATTTAAATTTAATTATAAAGGGAGGTTTAAATTTTATATCTACTAAGTAAGCAGAACTCTTACATGATTATAAATAGAGACATTAACCTTACGTAGAAAAATATTAAAGGCGAGGATATGAAGCTTGATATTAGAGACACCAACGCCCTCAGTTTCATTCTTATGCGTTCAATCTTTTATTTGTAAATCCAGTGTAAATGTAAATTTACAAGGGGATTTAGAGTATTGTGCTGTTATAAAATTCTTGACGAAAGAAAGTAGTACAGTGGACTCTAAGTATATTGCCACTGAACATATTGCCACGCGAGGCACTTCCCCTTCACACGTACTTTCGAGCACAAAAATTCGCTCTCCCACCACGTTGCGTACGCCGGCGCACCAGCGCGACCCAGCTATTGCGATCCAGGTATTTCGCATCCGCACTGCCATTTTACTCCCTTACAGCCCCGAACATAGCAATATAGTTAGAGTCCACTGTATGTCAATGGAAATTCACGGACGCCTTCGTAAAATATATGGAGATGCTTTTCACATTTAAAATAAATTTCTACAATTATTGATTTATGAAGTTAATTACTTTGGCAAATGAGCGGCTCATAGAAGGATGGATAAAATGATATCCAACGAAAAAAAAAAAACAATAAAACGAAAATATAAGAAAAAACCAATCGCAAAACTCACAAGCAACGCGAGCAAAATTCGCGGGAGCGAGTCTCCAACGGCCGATAGCAGTTATCCCGTAGCCAATCCTTGCTCGTTACGTAGCAACGATTGCTGGTGATGAAAGTGACCAGATTGCACCCTGCGAGCCTAATTTCGTTTAAAACGGACGCGCCCACTTCCCTCGCGTCCATTCTTGCGCATTATCGTCACTTTAATACACCCTTTCACTACGCGCACGTGACCGTCCCATTACACACGGAATCCACACTGACACCCGACCTCTGGCGAATTCTTCAACGATGGCATTCCCAGCGCGTGCACGCCCGCCAATTTCTCCTCTCACGTCGCAAGACGGTATACCCCCGATGACACACGAACGGTAAATATAATATATTCTTTTTATTTTCCCCACTGGGCGAAGACGTTTTAATGGTAAATTCCACAAACGTTTTTCACCTGAACCATGCCTGGCACAAGTTTCTCGAAATAATTCTTCAGCAACTCTGAATTGTATCCTCCAGTGTCCCTCAACAAAATCTCAATTCATTCGTTTGTTTAATTTCCTTTCTATTTTTCTACTGTTTGTTGTCCTATCGTTCTAGCTATCATCGAGTATCATTGGAATGTTTATTATTCAGGTTCCAGCGATGTTGAGAGCTTGTCTATCATTCAAAAGGCTACTCTTGATGGCGCTGGTATCCGACAATTACGTCTTCCTTTCCTCATTGATCGTTCTTTCTTCTCTAGATTTTCTTCTAGATAAATCACGAAACTCGCGAGCAAGACACGTTTACAAGGTACTGGCTATCGAATAAATCAATCCTTATGTCGGCCTGTCCACGTCGCCGTCACGTATGCACTGTGCACCTTGTTTTGACCCCAACTGGCGGCGAGTCGCTGCGTCGACACACTCGACGAACGCTCGCTGTTCGGAAACCGCACTTACAATTTCCGACCCCGTAAGCCGTGCAATGAAATCTCGTACTATACTGGTCGATCGTTCGTTTACCATCGAGGAGAAGGAAAAACCGTTTCACCGCGAAACTGAAATTTAAGTTTCTCTACGCGGCGCGGAAAACTGTTTCCCTCGGCGGTGCGCGTCGTCGATAAAACACTTGTACGCGATTCGTGCCGGCGTATCTTATCGTTTTTTCTCCCATAACGACAATCAGAGCCACGAATTTCCAGTGATCAAATACTGCAACTTCATTTTCCTTTCGTTTGTTCGTTGCTTCCGAAATATAGCGTCATCGATCTTTTTGGTTTGCGTTTTGTGATTTCAGTTTTTTTGAAATAGTTTCCTTCGTAGCTTTGTTTCTACAAGGTTTATAACACCAAATTTCTTATCTCATTCTGTCACAGACCTATCGAACCGTATCATGTACAGGGTGATAATAAAAAAGGCTGTATAGCTTCTAGAGTATTGGCGAAATGATGAAAGAAAGTCCTGACGAACGTGGGTCGAAAAATTATTATTTTCAAAATTATAAACAATTCTTCGTTTCGGTTAAAGTGACTTTCTATGTGAGTTATCGTAGCATATGGAAAGAATGAAGAAAATAGCAAAAAGAAACACTGATAAAAATTGTAGAAAACCTGTAACCAGGAAAAGAAGAAATGATGTGATGATCCATTTTTTCCATACGGTACGACGGCTCCCGAAGCAAGGAAGTCAGTTGCTTTAATCGAATCGAAAAATTGTTCTATAACTTTGAAAATGTCACTTTTTCGACCTATGTTTATCAGGACTTTTTTCTCATCATTTGGTGAATACTATATGTGTAGCTTGGAAGTTATGAATCCCTTTTATATCACCCTGTATACCTCGATGAACATACAGTCGGTGATCCAATTATTATGAAGAAATGGAGAAATTACATATTTTATGTGTTTGGTGTCATTTTCACTTCAATAATAATAAAATATACCCGTTTTTTTCCTTAACATATAGATAGGTATACAATTTAACTATATTTTGGTATGTTCATTAATCAGTGTACTGATAGTAATTGGTAAGTACGACTAGTTACTGCCGATTATTGTGTTTCTTTTATTGATTGTTGGTTTCCCTGATTATTATAGAAATATTGAAAGTATGCCGAGAAGAATTCAATCAATAACAGATACGAAGGGTGCTATAACAAAATATTGATACATAATATTTTTGTGAGAAATTATAATCGTTATAATATGCTAGTAAAAACATAACAACATGTTTTGTAATAAATAAGGTACTATTATAAATAGACAGCGGAGGTTTATGTAAATTTACAATTTCTAACATTAGTACAGTAAAAATAAAATGGCACAGAAATTTCTTTCCGATACTATGTGCTTCAATATGTTAATAATAATGCATAAATAATAATAAATTTTATTCGAATCTTTACTTCGCTACGTTTTGCAAGTCAGGGAACGCTATAAATCCATAAACATTCACCGACTAATTATAAGTGTATTTTCAATTCCGTTCTTGATCAAAACTGAAATGAATGGTACTTAAGAACTGTTCATAACAATTTGATCACCCACTGTGTCTACGCTGCATAGTCGGCGTAAAAGCAGCTAGCTCGCGACAGATACCCTATCAGGCCTGATAACACCCCACCCACCGTGGTGCCAAGCAACGAGGAGGGCCCCGATAACAACGTTTTATTGCCCTGGACCCGTAATCGTGCAGGGGCGATCTACGATTCTCGACGCCGATTTGGACGTCTTCCCGAGCGAGGCGACGGCCACTTTCTCGTGTCAAGCCAAGGCCGTCGCTGCGACACCTTTTACTCTCTGTGGATTCCAGTTTCGTGACAACACGCCGATAAAAGAGACGCGTCCGACGCAACACTTACGACGTGCCAATGACGAAGTTCCCTACTCCTAGGTTACACAAGCCTAGTTCCATTAAACGACGAAAAAACTTGACTGCTCGCCTCGAAGGACGTCTATTAGGATGTAGCGGCGGAGGCATTTAATTATTTTGTTGTATATCGTACAGTAAAAGCGTTAATTCAGTAAATGTATACATTTATTCAGGCCCGAATTAAGATTTCTTGTGGCCCAGAACTATTAAGCTTCGAGGGCCCCCTTGGTTGAAAAGCAATGGGGGGGGGGCAACATTTTTTTAATGCAACATACAATAAAATACATGAATTTTCAAAAATTGAAATTGATTCTAAGTAAAATTAAATATCATTTAAGCTGTCACTTAAAACAGTGGCAAATGAACAATCCACAGGATCAGGGCAAGGTTTTATGAAATGCCAATAGGAAACAAAATGTAATTAAAAAAAATGCATGTGCCTGAAAAGGGAACTTTTATGCAACTCCAGGTGGCACCGTAGTTTTCCGTGTTGTAAATTGGTACACAACTCATTACACCGTTTTCTGATACAATACGTAATAAGTTATCTTAGATAATAGTTCTTATAGACTCACCCTGTGTATTATGTATATATATATAATAAATCTATATGTCGAATATTATGCATAGTATAATTGTATGGTATATCTACAAATTGTATCTATTCTGATCCAACGTGAACACAATTAATGCCCCATTTTTCTATTATCAACAACGAAGAGACACAGACGGATGTATAATATTAACAACGTGGCTACGAGACGTATACGACGTAGGTCGTAATATGGATTATATCTTCGTTTACGTGAGCTGTATTACTTTGAACTTTGATTATATCCTACAAAGATATACGTCCGTCATCTTTTTCAACAAAACCGGTATTAAACGTACTCATAAAAAGTGAATTAGCACAATCTAAAAGAGTACAGAATCCATGAACAAGGTTCATGGTCTACAAATAAAAAGGGTTCATGTAAGAACGCGATGAAGAAACCGTTCTATCCAGTAGTATAAAGTTTCAAAAATACATTCTACTATCGTTCCATAAAAAAAATTCAGTTATAAATTATACGATATGCAGTGGATTAATAAGAAAAACTGATTGTTTTTCTTGTGTGTTGAAATACGGATTTATGATTAAAAGCATCAATGCTGGGAGGCGTGTGACTCACCTTTCAGTCGGCCCTGTTGAATAACTAGAAGACTCTTCGCCTGATTCAACACTGTTGAAAGAAGTACAATTCATCTTCCTTTCTTCCCACTGCGAGCGAACCTCGTCCTGTACTCTTCGTTTCAGTTCCTCGACTCTACGCCTTTCTTCGGAAATTACTTGGCTACCTGTAACAGATACAGGACATCGATTGCTAATAATAATAATACTTGTCCATTCGAATTCCAAATTAACTTATGTATTTTCATTTTAATAAAAATCAATATTGGGAAGGTAAAATGAGTAATACTCATTTATCATTTCCTCCTACTGTTTAAAAATATTGTATGTCACTATAAGATTGCACGTATCAAATCCCTGGGGACGTTTATCTAAAATTGTTTTTTGGCTATGGTAATTAGATAAGCAATTTATTTTCAATCATGTATGTAGATAAAGAAATCTCCATTTGTTAGTGTCAGCAACATGTCAATAGCCCTGTATATGTACTACTGCGAAGAAAAAATGTTTTACCTTGTTTCGCTAAATGAAGCTGTCGATTTCTCTCAATTTCCTTGAGGGATTCGATAGTCTTCCTTCCCAAACTACCTTGATTATTAACAATAGGAGAGTCAGTGGTAACCCTCGAGATCCTGTCAAAGTCTTCTCTGCTCGGAGATCGTTTCTCTTCGGAGTTCTCGCATGAATTCTGCGCCAACTTCGTCAGTTCATCGTTTATCGCTCTAACTCGGTTTCGACTCTGTCGCATCGAAATAAAAATACCACGAATCAGAATACAATTTTATCATATATTGTATATTAACCTAACTAATAAATAATCCAGTATTTTTAAATAAACAGCATTTACTTTTAAGAAATCCAGAAATTTTTACTATCTAGATGTAGGTACTAGTTGGGGTAACTGTGACTCAATCAGTCAGGAGTAAGTTTATCTCATGTTAGAAAACGAACATTTTCAATTCTGCAGGTCTGCAAATTGTTAAATTAAGTTGATCTATATGTGACAAAGTATTTCACGAAAAAATACGTGCAAAAATGCCTGCAAAATCGAGAACGATCATTTTCTGACTTTGGGTCAAAGTTACCCCTGACAGAGTCTCAGTTACCCCAACTTACGGTATTTTAATAATGCATATTCATATTTATCCTCTAACATCCCGCCATTTTAATAAGGTTAGCGGATGATGAGTACATACATATGTATTTTGAATACACGATAGATCATTAAGGGATCTTACCATTGTAAAGCCCTAAAAAATTTGTCGGTATTTTAGAATTTTTTTTAGTGAACGAAGTGTCCAACATAAAGGAAGTGTTGTCTATTTATTAATACATTTATTTAGAGTATGAAAAATTTGTTTTAAAACTTTTATTGGGTTTTTTTAATATGTATATGTATATGTATAAAGTACTGAAAGTTTTAAAAAAATGTTGTTATACTCTCAATAAGTGTATTAATAAATAAACAACACTTCATTTATATTGAATATTTCGTCCACTAAAAAAAAATTCCCAAAAATTACAATTTTTCAGGGCAAGACATGTGTTTCAAGGCTTTACCGTAGCAAAATCCCTTAGGAAAGGATAATGGGTTACTGGCGCACTAAGTTCTTTCGAAACGAAAAGTAGTTATGAATCCAAAAACTTGTAAGTTGTAAATTGTAATCTTTAAACTGTAAATTTTACTAACTTCTTCCAACCGCTTCAAATGCGCCAGTTTCTGTCTCTCAAGGCTCCTCGCGTCCTTGGTCGCTGTGCTCTTCGCTTCGGATCTCTGCGATTCCAAATGGTTCAAACGAGCCTTTCTGGTTTCTATCTTTGTCGTCAGTTCGCTCAAATATCTGAAAAGGATATTTCACAGACGGTCAAGTACACGAATAATACGTATTTATAAAAAAAAGTTAATGTCCTAAATTTTCTTTCGACCGTCATTGTATATCCCGAAAGTAAAGAATTCCAAAGTTCATGTAAAAAGCAACTGTATACCTTTGTAATTCTTCCCTAGTCGCCAATTTACTCGCTTCTTCCTCGAGATGATGGAACTCCAGGTCTTCGAATGCTTTCCTCTCAGATTCGAGAATCTCTTGCTGAGTGGTAAGCTTCTTGCTGATATCTTGTTGCGCCGTTTCGCCCGTGCTATTCTCGAGCTCTTCCTCCAAACGACTACAGGCCTGTTGAGCCCACTGAACCCTTTGCTTCGCTTCCGCTTGCAAATTTGCCTGCGTCGTATTATCCTCGGCCATTTGTCTCTCGAGCTCGTTTATTCGCATCTGCACCTTTATCTTCTCGCCCTCGTCCTGACTGAGCTTCAACGATTCCGACTCGTATTCTGCGGACAGCAGCGCCTTTTCCAGCTCGAGCTATACAGAAAAATACAAATTTCAATGCGTTCGGTCGACAGTCCCTTGAATGATTAGGGTACAGTATAATAGTGAAAAATGGTATGCAATGTTTCTTAACTCTAACGAGACACTTAATGTCTTAAGTGTGGGTTTCTAAATATAGATGCATTAAAACTTGATATCTAAAGTGTTTTGCTCATAAATGTTTCATGAGGCATCACAGATAATCTTAAATAAAAATCGTTGATGAAGGTTCAATAGAATATCAGTTGCCATTAAAGGATTTGATAATTCATATGTACCAACCTAAAAATTAGTTTTTTTCACGTGATTTTCGAAACTACAAAGAAAATTTCTATGATATGACGTTTATCGGTGCGCCTATAGAGAATACTAAATTTTTTTAAGATCACAGTGAGTCAACAGTACCATTTTAAAATTAAATACCTATTTTCTTAACTACCTGTTCGAAATGTCGCTTGAGGAATTTCGTCTTGTCGAAGAAGAACATGAACTCTCTCATAATTTTGGCCAGAAATGTTCAGTTTTCACGGAGTATTCGGCGTACGAATGACGAAACGCGACTATACAAGAATATTACCGAAGGACTGGTGACACGAAAGAGGCAGGGACTTATCGCGAAATGCAAAAAAGCAAACAAATGTTAACTCGAAGTCAAACTTAGATAAGGGGACCAGACTCGTGCTGTTGATTATCTTTGAGCATCGAATGCATTTGCACGTTTCAACTGAGAATTAAACCTAAGAATACGAAACAACGTGCAAGAAACATTGGGCGTGTTGTCCACAAACATTTGGATATTCGATCAAAGATAAATACTGTTGCAGGATAAAATTCAAAAAGCCACAAATACTAATTGCAAAATTCTAATAGAAACATTTTTATAAGTGTCACAAATAATATTTTTCAACTGTCAAATTTTATTAAAATATCAAAAATGGTAATTTCGGAGAATTTTAGGATAATACTGTACAGGATCATTCCGTAAACCACTTTCTACCCCCTAAATTCCGTTGAAACCTATTGATTCTATTCTTTTAGATTTAAATACCTTTGTCTCTTCCCCAGTAGAACACAGGAAGCCTATTTGTAGGCTACAGAGGGATCGCTTATTGTTTATAGTGTAACACTACAACAAATATATCAAAGTTCTAACTCAAAAATATAAAAAGTCATGAAAAAAATCTGACTGTCCCCTAGAGGTTAATCGTTCTCATTTCGGGAAACCCTATCAAACATATTAATCAAACGAAGTACTTAAACAACAAACCTCTCGACTAATTTCCTCTTCCTGTATCTCAATATCCGCGACGCTTCTCTTCAACGCGTCCATATTTCCAAGGATATGTAGTTTCTCGTTCTGAAGGAACTCTATGTATTTCCGTCTATCCTCCTCTTCGAGTTCCTTTCGCTCCTTGTCAGCCTTCGCCTCGTTCGACTTCGCGTTGTCCTTCTCCGAGTTGTTCTTCTTCGGTATCATGCAGATTTCTTTGGACTTGGACAGCATCGAGAGCTGCTCGATAGCCTCGAGCAGATCATCGTTCGATATCGCCAGCTTGTTCTCGATCATCTCGCACGAGTTCGAGAGCTGGCCGTTTTTCTTTGGCATGGAATGATTTTGATTGTTGTTCTGTAACGGGCCGATCACCACGTTCTCGTACAAGCTAACATTGCCGGTTTTCGTCGAATTATTATCGTAGTTTCGCGCGTTGTTCGGTTGATTCGAGTTGATCCTAGTCCCGTTCAGCTGAATCGTCCCGTAGCCCGATGTCTCGTTCGTTACGTCGTTGGTCTGCCCGTTGTAGCCATTATTGTTGTTGTTGTTTAGAATAGAACCTTCGATCGTCGCGTTCTCGTAGCCCGGGCCACGAACCTGCGAGATCGAACCGGAAAAACTATGGTCTCCGTTGCCATGAACGTTTGGCCATTTGGTCGATTGATTGTTGTTAGGCGCGATCGATTGTGGATAGCTCTGGACGTTCGTCGTTTGATTCTCCGGTTGGTTGGTCTGATTACGGCGACTGCTTGGCGAATTATTGCCGTTCTGGAAGATCATTTTCGAGTTCTGCACGCAAACGTTCTCGTAGGACGCGGATGTGGACTGTTTGGCCGCGTCGAAGGAGAAGTGCAGTTGCGTCTTCGATGGACTCTTCGGGCTGTCGAATGGGGAGTTATAGCCGAGCCTTTTGTCGCGCGGGAGCGAGCCGTTTGTTTTGATTCTGTGGGAGGAAATCAGTTTTATTGTAAATTTCAAATCGTGGTAAATACCTTTCGACAATTCTGACTAGTTAATTCGAGAATTATGTTAAAAGTTTAAATCCAAATTTCGTCTAAATTTGGTCTTCCTGGTCAATGCTAGTTCTGACAAATCCGTTTCGATATTTTCGACTAGTTTATTCTAGAATTAATTACATGATGTTAGTTGAAAGTAATTATACATTAATACATTCACAGTTTTTACTGGTAATAACTGGTACTGCCCGAAACTAATCAGTTGAAACTGTTTCTTTAAGGTCAAATGTATTTTTTTCCAATTTGTCCCTAGTTGCAATTAGTTTTATCTAACAACGGGTTTTAACGACGACAGTGTTTCATTAACCTCGATGTAAACTAGTCAAAATGGATATTTTTGGGAAATACTGATATGGTTAAATACATTTGGTTATTTCTAGAATTTATTACTAATGTTGATGAAAAACCTTTGATAAAACTAGTTTTAACTAGTTGGATCGGATTCAGTGCTATATTATAGATATTCTTGTCTATATTACCTCACAGAGACAGAATTTCCTTCGGAATATTACTTTTTATGAGTATAGACGTTCTGAATTATAATAATTGTTATAAAAAAGTAAATCGAAAATATGAAACAAATTTTCGAAGAGAACGCTTGCTACTTTTCTTGCAATTGAACTACTATACTGACCTAAAAAACTAGGTCAATCGAATATCTTCTATATAAATTTCTACGAATCCAAAATAAATTTTCTTCAGCCACAACTCTCCGATGAAAAATTTATCTGTGATTATATTGAACTACAACCTTCGTTTTTCTATTATCACATATTGCTCACCCTATGTAGCATAATAAATGACTAAAAAACCATTAAAACCATTTTGATCGCAAGAGAAACAACGCTTCAATGTTTCCCGAAGCATGCAGAAACCAAAAAAAGGAGCCTTCACCTGTTAGGCTGCCTCGGCTTCTCCATGGTGCTCTGCCTCTCGTATTCAGCGCACATCGCCAGAATCTCTTCGAGTCGCATTTTCTCCAGCCTCTCGACCTCCTGTTCCCGTAGCCTCTCCTCCTGCGCCATTTTCCGCCTGTTCTCCGCCTCCCTGCGTTTATTCTCCGCGTCTATCTGCCTCTCCCGTAGTTCCTCTAACGAACAACCGCTCCCGGTGCTCGGGGTCGGGCTCGTCACCCGGCCAAGGTTTCTCTTCGGCTCGTTGTACTTCGGATTACGATTGAATGCCGGGCTGGGTGGTTGTATCCTTTTGATATTCGTATTGGAACCGTAACTCGGCGCGCTATTGGTGTTCCTCAAGCTGCCACCAGTGGTGCAGTGGTTCCCGTTGTTAGCATTATTACAGATGCTGGGATTCGAGCCGAACTTCTCCAGCTGTAGATACTCCGTGGTGGTGGTTTTGGTAACGATCAGACTCTGGCTCATGTCGTACTCCCTTGCGTTCTTCAGCTCGTCCAGATCGTTGGACCTCTGACAGGTCATGCTACGAGACATCAGATCCCCTTGATTGGCTGTCCCTTTTGGAATTGGGTTCTGTGTGTTGTTCTCGTTGTTCTCCCGGTAGTAGGGCTTGTAGGACTTCAGATAGGACTCGGCGGACGTGTACATCTGTATCTGATTGTGATTCGTCGGTGTGCTCTGATACTGAATATTCGGTGTGTTCGACCGGCTAGGTGTTCTAGCTTCCCTCTGGCGGTTCTCGTCGGAACAGTGATTAGGGATGGTCGGGACAAAACAGTTGCTGGGCGAGGAGGTGCTCAGAAAATGACCAGAGGAGGACGAGTTGAACGATGGCGTATTGGAACGACTCCTGTCCAAATTGGTCAAATTTTGCAGGGGAGAATTACCGTTGCCGTTTTTCAAGGAGATCAGACTAGAGGATCTAGAGTGTCCTAGAATCTGATCCGCTGGAACATTCGTGGTGACAGCGCCGGCTGGAAAGACTTTGGGGGAGACGCAGTTGTTTCGGTTTTGCTTTGACAGCATCTCGAATTTCGTTAGCTTCCCGAGGAAACCGATCTCATCGTCCGAGCACGAGTTCCTCGGCGATTTTCGCGGCGCGACCGGCGGCTTCCGCTCCAGGTGGTAGTTCTCCTGGAGCTGATTCTCTGGCAGCGAGAAACTGATCGGCGCCATTGAAATTCTTGACTGGGGCAGCACCGAGCGTAGCTGTTTCGCCTCGGCTGGATGGTTGAAACGCATGTAGTTCGATCTGCCGATCGACAGCATGCAACCTGGAACAGGAGATTTCGATGTATTATCGGAATTATAGTATTCTTAACCCTTGGAAAGAGAACGTTTTTGATAATTGAATACAAGGTAGAATCTGGGTCCAGACAGACACTCGTTCATCTGTCTTTAGATGCGTTTTCAAACGAATTTCTTCGAAATGTGCTGGTCTTCTAATAAAATACCAATGCAAACTTCTGTAACGTTTCGCTTAATTTATGTAAACGGGAATGATATGTAAAGTTATTGAGATTTTGGGTTAAAATGGACCTAGATACCGCCGTATAGGCGTTAACACACTGCGGATCGTATCGTACCAACTGTATGAAATATCTGTTGTTGACATTCTCGAAGTGTACAAATATTTATGACTAGACTGCGGATTTTGGTACAAAATGACATTATCTAAAATAATTTATGAAGACAAAAGCAAATTTAGGAATTTAGTTTTCGTCTGAAATATCTTACTGGGTTCAAAATAAAACAGAAAACTCGTTGGATCCAATGAAAGTTTTGTGCTTTATTGTATTTCATTCAGTCCTATAGGCTTTAAATGCATAAAATCCGCAGACTAATTATAACTGTATGAAATATCTGTTGATATCCTCGAAGAATAAAATATTTTTTTATTACTACATGAAGTGCCTGCTGATATTCTCGAAATTTTTGCTCGAAGAATATAATATTCAATATTTTGTTGAAGTCATCGTCAGTCACACACTTTGTATAAATTACTACCTGATTAGAACGCCAGAGGAGAATGCATAACAGACAAAAATCCATATTTTTGCTCATTAATGCTTTCAAAACCAAAGACGCTGAATCACGTCCCTGGTCCGCAATGCGTTAACTAAATTTACCTCTCGACATTGACTTTTGTACCTAATATGGTTTCCTCACATCCTTTCCCCTGCTCTCTATTTTATTTTGAGTTTAAAATCTGGTGATTATAAAGTGAATCGATATATTATTTATACTGTAACAATTTTTTTCATTTTTATCTTGTAAAAAATGTTGAGCGTGATATTCTACGAACTTTTATAATAATATGTGTAGATAGCTTTTAATACATATATTTTATACATAATTAACAAAGACAATGTATTTTCATGAAATTTTACAAACAGACAGAGGATATAAATGTTTAATATATTTTACAAAATCAAATCGTGTTTGCTACCTATTATGACTATTATTTACTGAATAATAATTATTTTTATACTACGACACCAGAAATCATTTATCCACATTCCTGTTAGGATTACAAATGAGTTTGGTCTCACGCTTACTAAAGTTTAAGAGAAATTACAAAATATTACTAAACAAATAAAGATTTCCTCTGCAAATAAGAAATATAGCGAACACGATGTTCACCAAGAAAATCAAAGGAAGACAGAGATCATCCGACGTTCTACACGAATGTCCTTTTATTTTCGGACGATTCAAGATGATATCGTAAAGTGTTCAGCGCGTAAAAATTGTCAAACAGAATTTCGTGAGCAAGGATTAACCGAGAAGCGGCTTCTTGAGGAGCCCGAGGACTCGGTCATACGAATTTAAGTCAAGGTCTTACCTTGAGCGAGTCTCACTGGCGAATTTATAGGTACACCATCGACTGCCGTGCTTCCATTTATGGGGTGAAGAGTGACCACGCCGTTATTGTTTTCGATCGCACAATGAATGGTTTCGACGCCGGTACCAACGACAGAAATATCCGCATCTCGGCTCGATCCGAGGGTTACCTTACCTAAAAAGAAAACACACGAACGTTAAATTGGGCACAAATTTTATCTATCATGTGGACCAATAAATGATTATTCATTTGTTCACTATTTCTTGACGTAAATCGCTATTCTTTTGACCAAATCAGTATTGGTTTCTAGGAAAGTCAAATATCTATACTGTTTAATTTATGTTCATAATTATTTGTTACCATCTCACTCTATTTTTACCCAATGAAATGAAAGTATATTTTCATAGCATAATGTTCCTAATAAAATGGCCACTTTTCTGATCCAAAACTAAAACAAATGATTCTTTGATATTTATAATTATATAAAGGTCCTGTGCAATTTTAGGCTCTAGAGGGGTCGCTTAGTTTTTCCTAGTATGTATAACATTATAATAAATACATAAAAGTTCAAACTCGAAAATATAATAAGTCATGGAAAAACCTGACTGTTTTCTAAAGGCTAACAGCGATAGTGAGGTTAATCACTGGATCAATTACGAAAAAGCATTGAATGTTCGTCCTATCTATACGAAGTCAGTATTCGTTCCTATGGAAGTCAAAGATCTATACTGTTTAATTTATATTCAGAATGATTTGCTATCATTTTACTCTATTTTTAGAGTAGCCCCGTTTTCCGCGTGTGTATTTGTAAATTCTGTGGTTTTATCGATAAATAGAAATCGCAAATATACCTACGTGTCCCGATATAATCATATTTTGTTTCTGCGCGGTTGGATTATGACTGTTAGGAGGTTTAACGACGCGAACGACGAAGCTCGAAGTAGCTTAATGGAACATTTACTTGATTAGTCAATTAGCTACCATAGAAGGATGTCACGACGTGTACAATGGACCTCATTTAATTAATTTTTTAGTTGAATTGGAAACGTGAAAGTGTACTCAATGGATTGAATTGTTATGTAAATTTTACGAATATTGATGTTCTATGTTTTCTTGAATTGTATTATGACGAAGTAATTATTCTTACTTTGAATATATTTTAAGTGATCTCTCACGTAGGTAATTAACTGTTAATTAAATCTATTCCCTCCCGAAAATTTCATTCACTTCACGACACTATATTTTAATTAAATTGTGATCACTACTAAAATAACATTAGGCAGGGTATAAATTTTATTAGATGACGATAATATTCATCACTACTAGACTACTCATTTTATGCATTCATAACCTATAGAGCTCTGTGAAATACAATAAAGGACAAAACTTTCATTAGATTCAACAAGTTTTCTATTTGATCCCTAATCCAATAAGATACTTAAGGGAGCGAAAAAATTCCTACTTTTGTTCTGGTCTTTATGAATTATTTCATAAAATGTCATTTTGCATAAAAATCGGTAGTCTAACAATTACATTTATCAACCGGTTTTTACACTTTCTAAACGGTCTTCAGCAAGAATTCCTAAAACTGAATAAGATTTTAGACTTTCTTTTTACGTAATAAAAAATTGGCAAATAGAATTAACATAATAAATATTCAACCGAACATCAAATGGTACACATTATTGGAGATATTCATTATGTCACTTGAATAAAACACGTTATCATTTATACTCATCGTACTACTACATAGGAAAATGAATTAATACAAATATTTATTGCAAAAATGTGTAGTTCACTACCCTGGTCGAAGTAAGTCGTATGCAAATCATTTTATAAACTACATTTCTATGAGAATTATGCCTACTATATAAATTTAAGAATGACGCAATAGGACATTTCCAGTACACCGTAATTAAGCGTTCGATCGAAAGTAAAAACTGAAGATCCGGACCGTACGAGTCATTTTATCAATCGTATTCCAACGAAAATTATACCCACTCCATAAATTCGCAAAAGACGCAACAAGTATTTCCAGTACACCGTAATTAACACAAAACCTACCACGATCGGTAAAAACGGTTTTGGCGTACTAATTCCTACCTCTCTGAACGATTCGGTAGGTTTAGTGTTAAGCGTTCGATCGAAAATAAAAACGGAAGATCTGGATCCCATACACGAGTCATTTCCCGGAATTCTAAGAACGCGAATCAGACCGGTCTCGGCTACACCATTCTCGCCGGTTGTCTAATAATAAATTCCATCGATGACTTTTGCCATGTTGCGCAAGTGCCATGAACCAACAACGAACATACTTGTTTATAGCCGTACGAAAAATTCTCCACGCACAGAAATCGGATTCGCGGTAATTTCAAAATAGCTAATTACCTGCAGTTGCGTCGTCGTGATCAGACACAATTCGATTTTATTCGAATCGGTCAGTCGGTGTTCCAGAGTTGTGGGTGTCGAATCACCGCGCAAAGAAAAATTCCGTTGTGCTTTTTTTTTTCACATAAATATCTTGGTCAGATGGTATCGATCATCAGCCACGAAACAGGTATGAGGATCTAGGCGTGCCACGAACTGCGAGTGCCGAGTAAATCGCGGTGCATTCTACAAAGGACTGCAGTTATATTTAGTTTTGGCGCGGTCGTGCACTCTCGAGCACATTTTCGGTCTTTTTGGAAAAGCTTCCGCCATGCGGCCGTTCGAAATATACACTCTCGCGGCTAGGGGTGAAGCCCTCGTCTACTTTGTGCTCCGTGAGAACATAAAGATTTCGTGGGTGTAATTTCTTCTCTTTTTTTTTCTTAATACTTAAACTGCCCGGAGTTTATTTAATAGGCGTCTTAAAATAAACTATTAACAGTTAACCCTTAATCCTTTCACTTCCGAATTATTTGAAAATTATCAAAGAAATATTTCGTTGTATTTTTGTATATACTACATAATATATAAATGATTCACAACAACATTTTAATATTTTAAATTTTAATATTTTAAATGTATCAGTTATCATTTTTAATTATGAAATTCGAAATATATTTTCATGATACAATTTTTTTTTTATAAAATAGCCATTTTTCTCATCCAAAACTAAAATAAAAGATTCTTTGATATTTATAATTATATAAAGGTTCTGTGCAATATTTAGACTCCAGAGGGGTCACTTCTTTTCTTTGTCTGTATAATAGTATAACAAATACATAAAAGTTCTAACTTGAAAATATAAAAAGTCATGGAAAACCCTGCCTGTCATCTAAAATCTAACAGTAATGAAGAGGATAATGACTGTTCTATCTAAATTCTCAGTTCCTTAATTTCAATTATTTTGTGGTGTATTTGCAACTTAGCTTCTCCTGAATCAATTATCGGAAAAAGCATTAATCATAACACGGGTTTGTCCATCTATTTACTTCAAATAATGGTAGTCCTGCTGTAATCTAACGGTTTTGCACGGCACAATTATGCATTTATCATTTTCTCATTGTAAAATCCTATCGGAGCACCCGGTGTACACGAGTTCCATCGTCCTGTTGTTATTTACGATTATTCGGTGCCCGGATTTCGCCGGGCCGGCATTCCGTTGCCGTCGATAAAATTACAGTTCGTATCGTGTCCACCGTACAGCGATGTAATCGGTCGGCCACGATGTAACTGCATAGCTTCTCGCCGGGAATCGGTACCACGGATTATTTGGATTTATCGTGTGTTAGGTAACGCCATCAATTTTGTTAATTTAACGCTGCACCGCTACGCGGTGGTATGCAGATAGAGAGATGTTTGTGGCCAAAGTAAGTACTAACACTTTAAACCTCGCAAAAGCTCATCCTCTTGCACGTGATTTATTTGTTCGTTGTTCTCCTATGTTATCTAGCCTTTTTATATTAAAAAAACGATCCACAGGCTGTTAAAAGATGAAATGTTAAGTACATACAAAAGTAACCGTTGTTTTTCAGTCGAAAAATTTTGTTAACCCCTTGTCTTATAACACTGACAAGGGTACAACGCGAACGCTGACTCGCGGAATGGAATGAAACTTTGTGAGTATACAGAGTGATTCAAAACAAGAATAACGGTATGTTTCATTTGTGCGCAATCGCTCTGTAACGGTGTGAAAACTAACCTCAACGTCAAATGGGCACTTACACTTTTTCGCTTATAACAGTTAAAGTACAAGAAATAGAATAAATACTTCAAACAGAAGTTTAATGGTACAATAACCGCTATAAACTTGCGTTAACAAAATTTTGAAAAAAGTTATTACAAATTTTTTTCAAGAAAAAGAACTTTTTTCAAAATTTTGTTAACGCAAGTTTATAGCGCTTATTGCAAAATTAAACCTTTATGTGAAACATTTTATTTTTTTTTCTTGTGCTGTTTACGTAGTGTAGTACTATTTTTAGTACTACTTTTTTCGTTTCTTCAGTGTTCCACTAATTTTCTATTTATTTATAACAAAAATTTTTTTGTGGGATTCTGGAAAAATGAAACTTACTAGGGAGCACGATAAATAACATCAATAGTTTCCTATTATTTCTTAATAAAAACGAGTCTGTGGAGCCACTAGTCTATCCGTAGTTGGGTCACTTACCCCATTAAATACCTGTCTATGAGAATGAAATAGACTAAATAGAGAATTTACTTATTGGTACATCTAATGAATATCTTAAAGACCTTATATCTTAATGAAAATCAAACGATGGATACAATAAACGTCAGAACGATTCCCGACAGACTTAACGTTCATAGAATCGAGCTAACACGATTGGTAAGTCTGATAGGGAAAACCAATCGAGGAAAACGTTCGAATCATTGGTGTGTAATTGTTCCAACGAGCTCGAAGTTTCCGGCGTTATTCTGCCTCGTCAGAATTTCGTCCTAGCCGGAGAAAGTTTCCCGTGGTTTGCCGCGGCACGATCATAAATTTTCGAGGGAGTTAGGCTCCTATTCCGGCAGAGTGGCAGGTGCGAGAAGGTGACGGTGTCCAGTAAGAGGTACAATACCGGACAAATGCTTTTGGACGAAGACCTTTTGTTGTGTTATTCGAATTCGAAATACCATTGAAGTTACATTAAATGATACTGTTAAACAAAATTTTGTTAATTCTAAAATTATAGAGTGAAACTGGTTTTATTTTTTTGATTAATGTTTATTTCTTTTACCGTATACGT